GAAGAGCTGGCTTTCCTGGAAGATGGAGAGTAAGGAGTGTGCAGGTCTTGCAGGCAGAAGACCACCACCCATAAAGGAATGGTGGTCTGGACAAACATGGGCCATTGGGGGAGCAGCATGTAGCAGATGGGCATGGAAACAAACCTATGAAATGCTGAAACAAATAAACGAACCCCAGCTAAACTCAATTAAAACAAAACAACTCTATATCTGCACCTCTCTGCCTTTTCTAAGGGCTAAGCAACGATGCAGACCCACGGGAAGGAATGCCCCAGTGGTGTGCAAAGGGATTCCCAGGTCTTCCAGTGGATCGCCTCTCCCCACCGCATGCCTGTTTCTTCAGACTGGCTGAGGCCACCTATGCTGCTGAGTGGCAGACAGAACTGAGGAATGGGAAGGATGCAAGCTTTCGAGTCCCAGAGCCATGCTGGAATTGCAGCTCTGACAGTTAGTGCTGTGTGACTTTCAATAAGTTAACCAGACATGCCAAGTACATGTCTGTAATCCCAGAACTAGGAGGCTGAGGCAGGAAGGTTACTGCAAGTTCGAGGATAGCCTAAGCTATACAGTGAAGTCAAAGCCAGCCTGAACTACACAGTGAGACTGTGTCTCAAAAAACGAAAACAACAACCACAAAAATTAACTAAACTAGGTCTGAGTTTCTACCCCATAAAACTGAAATAGCGGGTAATATTTTCTCTACAGGAGTGTAATGTGTATAAAGCAGCAAGAATTTGCAAATGGATATAAGCAACAGAGTGAAAAGGCAACCTAGGGAATGAAATAAGCAATTTTCAAATCACATATCTAATAAGGAGTTACTCTCCAAATCCATAAAAGATATCCTAGAAGTCAACAACAAAAATCAAATTATTCAACTGAAAAATGGATACAGGACCTAAATAAACACTTCTCCAAAGATGATACACAAGTGGCCATCAACCAGATGAAAAGACATTCAACATCACCAGTCACTAGAGTAGTACAAGTCAAAACACAACCACAATGGCTATCACCTTACATTCATTAAGGTACCTACTACCCAGAAGACAAAACAAACAAACAAAACCAGAAAATAAAAGTACTACACTGGCAAGGATGTGGAGAAACTGGAAATTCTGATGTGCTGTTGGTGGGAATGTAAACAGCATCCATCATGTTACAGAAAAGCGTTCCAGTTCCTCAAAAAATTAAAAACGAAATGTCCGCATGATACCCAAAACAAGTGAAAGGAGGGTCTCAGAGATATACCCAGAGATATATTCTCAGGAATATACCCAAAACAAGTGAAAGGAGGGTCTCAGAGATACCTATAAATGCGTGTTCATAGCAGCACTGTTCATGACAGTAACTCAAAAGATGAAAGCAACTCAAGTGTCCATCTGCAGCACAGATTCACAAAACATGGCATATATATTTGACAGAATATAGTATTCTATCTATGTAGCCCTCAAAAGGAAGGGAAATCTGCATGCTACAACATGATAAAGCTTGAGGATATTCTGCAAGTGAAATGAGCCAGTCACCAAAAGTTATATACTGTCTTATTCCAGTTGTATGAGGCTCCTAGAGGAGTCACATGCACCGAGGCAGAAAGTAAGAATGGTGCCTGCGAAGGGGTGTGTGGAGGGGAAATAGAGTTGTTCAATGGGTACAGTTTCAGTTTTGCAAGATGAAAAAGTTCTAGAGATTAGTTTCATAACAATGTGAATGTATTTAATGCCACTGTTCTATACCACTAAAATGGTTAAGATGGGGTTTTTTGTTTTGTTTTTTTTTTGAGACAAGGTCTCAATATGTAGTCCAGGCTGGCCTTGAACTCACTATGTAGCCTAGGCTGGCCCTATATTCACGGCGATTCTCCTGCCTCAACCTCCTGAGTGCTTGGATTACAGGTATGCACTACTACACTCCGCTAAGAGGCTATTATTTTATATTCTGTGTATCTAATAATTTTTTTAAGTATCTAGATGTGTGGTTCTTAAATTTTAGGAAGTGAAAGTGCTTGTTAAACATGCAGATTCCAGGGCCCCTTCCCTAGAGCTTCTGATTCCTTAAAGTATGGGTACCAGCCCTGGAATCTGCATGTTTATAAACATCCCAGACACAGTTACCTCCTCAAGAATTCACTTACAGTATTTCTCTCTTCTAGAGGATCAGGGGTATTCTTCTGAACATTCTGCCCTGCTGATCTGTAAAGTATTGGGGAGGGAGTGTACATGCATGCATCTGTATTTATATCATTATTTGTATCTATGAAGAATAAAGTCATGCAGATCCTAGCCACAGGCCCAAGGAGACGGCCTCTATCCTCAGGGAACCAAGAGCCATAAAACTCTTATGTGAGGCTCTGGGCCTCAGGCCCACAGGGCTCTCACATTTCTACCTGGACAAGCTCTGCATCTCGCCAGAAGCGTGTCAAGTAAGCCAAACACTGCCCCCATAGGATGTCCCAACAAGGGAGGTAATGCAATGCACACCCCGCAGTGGCTTTGCCTCCAGGGCAGCTGGGGAGAAGAGATCTAACTCAGGCAAGGCTGCTGCAGCAGCTCAGACAAGCACAGAGAAACCACAAATCCAAAGGGCGGCCCAGTGAGGAAGGCCAAGGGGAGCCCTGGGGCCAGGGAAAGAGGCCGGCAGGGGCCTCCGCAGTCCCAGACAGGCAGCTCACCCCAGGTCCCACGCCTCCCCTTCACCACCCAACTGGCAAAAGAGGCTCTGCTCACCCAGCCACAGCCCACTAACCAGTGTCCTCAGCCCAACCACATCCCAGCACATAGTCATTTGTTACTTCATCGCCATAAGAGCAACTCTGACATTTCCCAAGCTCAACACTAACACCTTCATTACTTGGCAGTGCAGCAAGAATGTCACTCTTGGGGCATTGAGCACTTCCAGCCTGCTTCTGCAGAGGAGCCCAGGCTACTTGGATTCTGACCCCTGAGAAGCAGATCTGCCATGAAATGGTTAGGGATTAAACTCTAGGTCCCTCCCTTACCTCTTCAAAGGCCCTGAGAAGGCAACCAGCAATGTGTTCACATAGTTGTATGGTTTCTAACACATACAAAGCCAAGATATTCCTCAATTCTATTTTGTGATAACCTGGCCACTACCAAAAAATATCAGACCCACAAAACGAGGATCTGAAGCAGGTGTGGTGGTGCACACCTGTAATCCCAGCATGTTGGGAGGCTGAGGTACGAGGACTGCAAGTTCTAGCCCAGCCTGGGCAACTGAGGAAGACTCTTATCTTGAAATTTACAAATTTAAAAAAGGGTGCCAAAGGCCCTAGGCTCAATCTCAAGTAACAAACAAAAACATAAATAAATGCTGGGTGCTGTATCTCACTTAAATGTCATGATGAAGTCACATCCATTAGTTTGTTCAGCCTTCTTGACCACGCTTATGGGTTAGTTTTTTATTTGTAAGCCACTTTCACAAGTGGCTTAAGAAAACAGGATTCAGAAAGGTTCCAGGCCTTTTCTGGGTCACCTAAGGTCCAAAAGGTGGCCTGAGATCCAAACCCAGGCCCTCACACCCAAGCCTAGCGTTCACTTCACTGAATCACTATTCTTACTTGCCCTGATAAGAACAAAATGTAACCACAAACAGAAAGGCCCTCTAAATATAAACAAACAAGCAAACAAACAGGCTTTCTTTGGGATTAGATCACTGACAAACTTAAAAATAACCATTAACTCTGACTGATCATTTCCCACATGGCAAGCCCTAAGCTAAATTTTTCTTCTTGCAATACTTAACCTATTACCGTAATCCTAGGAGTTTAGATACAGTCTCTAGCTTCACTCTAGAGATGAGGAAATAGACTCAGAAAGGTTCATTAGTTCGCTCAACAACATACAGGAAGTAGAAAGGCCAAGACTTACACGGAGATCTAATTCTGTTTTTTTGTTTATTGTTTTTTTGGTTTTTTTCTGGTACCGGGAATCGAACTCACAACCTTGAGCTTGCCAGACAGGCGCTGTGCCGCTGAGCTAAATCCTCAGCCCCAAGGAGGTCTAATTCTAAAGCCCCTGCCTCTAACAGCTGTACAATATTCTGCAAGTGGAATCGCTTCTTGGCCTTTTGGCTAAGATCAAGTGTAGTATCTCTTCTTATCGGTTTAATATTCTATAAGTGGAGAAGGCCCACTGGATGCAGGATGCAGGTAGAGCAGAGAAAGTGCCTTGAACCTACACTTTCTAAAAGCTAGAAGGAAGGAATGACAAATGTGAATTACAGAAATGGTTTTAGGTTCAAATGAACTGGCAGTTGCCACATCAACTGCTCTTCATGGATCTTGATGCCTAGGACCTTTCACAAGCCCCATTTCTAGAGGCCCCACTTAAATATTCTGAGCATGGCACAATTCCTTCAAGTACCACACGTGACTTCCAGCCAGCAAGAAAGGTGTCTCCTGTGACAAACCTTAGGAACACACTGAGTTTTTCAGTTAGTCTAGGTTTCCACTGAGCTTATCTTCTAACTTTCTTAAGTCTTCTCTGCTGTTGCTGATAAGATTTGCCAGCCCTGTTAAAATGAGATGAGATCCAGCCAGCTGTCCAGAAATGTGCAAGGAGATTATTCTGAGAAAGAACCACCAGAGACAAAGGCCTCTAAAGAGGAGCTGGCCTGCGGTCTGCTTCTGTGGCTGAAAACCAAGGGCTCTGGATCTTGGGTGGGGGCGGGGAGCACAGGAGGGGCAGTAGCGATTTGCCTTGTGCCCTCCTGGGGTCTTCCTCTGTGCCCTGCTGAGCAGACTGTTGGGGACAGGGGGCCCAGAATGTTTGTCTTTGCTGGGGAGAAAGGCAAATAATTTAGGAACCATTGTATGCTGGTAACAAAGAGGACAAAGATATTCCTGGTGCTCCGCTGTGGCTGCCTCTGAGGGTCTGATGTTCCCTGGTGCTAGGTCCCAGCTTAGGTCCCAGCTGCCCCAGGTTGTGCCCAGGGCCTCAGGTGCACTGGGGTCACTGCAGGGTGCCCATCGGCATGCTCACCATCCCCCGGGACTGGTACTCTGGACCTGGAGTGCCCACGCCTGGGCATCTCACCCTGCAGACAGGTGCCCTAGGATCCAGGTGTCCTCTCTGCTGTACCCGGGTCACAGAAGTGGCCAGCACCCAGATGATGCCTGAGGGTCAGGTGCACGCTGATCTGCATCCACGTGAGCACGGAGAGCTGGACCCCAGGCCCGGCCGATCAAAGGACTGTCCCCAGCCTGTGCCCAGGTGGGCCGCCTGGCCTCTCCTTCGAGGAAGGCAGAGATGGCGCGGGGCGCCCCTCCCCTGCCTGGGTCTGGGGGCGCTGCTGGCACTCGAGTCCCAGTCCCCTCCTGCCTCCCGCCCGCGAGGCCGAGCCCGAGACCCGAAGCCGCGGCCGGTGGGCCCTGCAGAGGCGGCCCGGGCCTGTCCCCTGTGGGCCGGGCACGGAGCCC